GAGGAATCTGGTAAATGAAACAGAATGCAACTTCAAGTATTGAAGCTCGGCACTTTTTGAACTCAACACTGAAATGAAGTGCTATGCAACTAGAAAAGACCATACCAGAAATCTTAAAACCACAGTCTCTCACTTCCACAGGAAGTTCTTTCCACTCTAACTAAAGTAAGTTTTCTAAGCCTACATCCAAAACTCAAAAAAAATCTATCTAACCTGTCTTTTATGGAAATTAACTCACTCTCACAAAACATTTCCTGCTCTTCCATTTCATCCCAGTGAACACAGCATACTATGAACACAGGTAAGAAATAAATACTTTTTACACTGCCCTAAATACTAATCACACTCTATAAATAAGCACAGCATGTGACATCATCAGAATATTTTACTGAACACTAAACTGCATGGAAGACATTCATTCATGCACACAACTCAACCTCTCACTATCCTGAGTGAAATTTCCCACCATTCTAGATTATGTCTTCAGCTGTGTCTGAATCCATTGTTTCTTATTCAGGAAGGAAAAGGAAAAAAAGAGAGTAACAGTAATTCTCTTTTAATTTTCCTGTATTTTGTTATTTATCAGAATGTCAGGGGGAAAAAAACATTGTCCACTTAATGAAGTGATAGCAGGTTTAACTTCAGTGATTTCAATGTCTACACTGCACACTTCACTGTTAAGATTGTATTATCTATGACCAACATCTTGGAGTTTGGGAAAAATATGGGAGTTTTGTTAAGATTTTTATATTAGATGAAAAAAAAACCAACAACCAAACCACATTTGCAAACAGAATCTGGAAGAAAGAAAAAAATACATATAAAAAATTTAAAATCCTCTAAACCTCTTGCGCTAGAATTTCTAGTTATACTAGAAATTTCTGTTTCTACAGCTCTAGTAAAAAAGTATGAAGTTGAGTTTTCAGGAAAGTCACAGACCCTTTACCCAGACTTGTCATAGTATTCATAATCTCAACTTCACATTCACTGCTATCTAAAGCCTTTCTTACTTTTATTGAGGTGCTCATGGAGAAAGCTGTGTTTTCCCTAAATGAAAATTTAGATTCACAAAACGTTTCCCAGCAATGTAAGAAAGGAAGGAGCATGTTGCTTCCTCTTGTAGTAAACACAGACTTTAGGAATGTGCTACTGGAAGCCAAGTGCATGTAAGACACAAATTCCTGCTGGTGTATGACAGTGTTCATTATTCCAACTGTAAAGTGTCATTAAAAGACTTTTACCTGGAACCTGCAATGCAATACCCTCGTTTCTCTCACAGTTTCTCCTAGTTTCTACCTCTTCTTTGTGATTACTTTGCCAGGTAACAAACTATGGTATTATTTTGTCTTGTCAACCTTAAATGTTTTACTTGCTGCCTGCAGGTTTACACAACTGCAGTTCTGGAGGTTTCAGATCAATAAATATCACTGACATCTTGAGAACAAGCCACCGACCTCTACAGCCCTGGGTCACACAGGACACTACCAAGGACCAAAACACCCCAGGTCCCTTTGAAGGTTTCCCTTGTACTGGATTAAGAGAATTAACAAAAATCAATGAGGATGTTATCCTTCTACAACATACCTAGTGTGGAGGCTGTAAAAGTAATTTATAAATTTTTCTGACTGACCTTCACATTACTACCCAGAACCAAGTGTTACACAGCCAAAAAAGTTTAACACAAGCAATAGCAACCTTTCAAAGACACTTCTGGTGAAATTGTACAGTGCTGCTGCTGCTTCAGAAACACATCAAAACTGGTGCATTCCACACCATCCACAAGGCCTTAAAGAGATGTGTCTTCAGATTTGGAATATGAAGTTGACAGTTTTAGTTGAAAATTCTTTTTGCGGGCTGATCGCCTGAGGGCTTCTTTAGTTAATATTAATGAAATCATGTTTCACTTCTACCAAATAAATACTTAATAAAGCAATTCTGTTTAATGTATTAATGGCAATCTAACCTTTAAACATGCATTTTTGTTTTTCAAAGTTCAAACCTGAAAGCCTCCAGGTGTTACTCTAGAAACTAAATGAGAATACTCAGATTCCTTGGAAAATTTATGCTCATAAAGAATTATCTGCTTGTTATAAAGATTCACACAGGCACAGTTTAGATATGCAGAATGGAAAGAATAATTTACAACTGGAGCAAAAGCCAAATTTAAAAGTATGCAGAGGACACTCACTGATAGAGTAAGGGGCTTATGTCCTAAGATTAGAGCTTCTAGGATCTTGCACTGCTAATGACACTTCAGAGGAAAGAGTGCTGATTCCCACTTCCTGCAAATAACTTGTAACTAGGCAATAAAGCTTCCAATATTACAGCAGCGGTTTGGATTTTTTTTCCCACCAATTCTACAGAATTGCTACATGATTTTAAGACTTCATCACTTTGTTTCTCCCTAAACTGCAAAATAAGCAAAGCATTGCTTACCTTTTATAGCATCCCCTGGCCTGAAGTGTTTTACATCAGTAGGAAGTATTATTTTTGAACTCTTCTAGGAAGATTTGTCACCACTCTAAACCCTTCTACAAGTCTAGATAAAAAGAAATAACTTGCCCACACTTAAGTGTCATAAGAGATTCCTTTTTTTAACATGATACTTTCCAACTAAACTGCACACTGATGCTTTATTACCTTAGGAAGCAATTTCAGGACCTGAAAACACTAGGTGTAATATTAAAGACAAACCTACATCTCTCTACATAAGGAGAACTACCACCTTAACATTATAAATGCTTCTGAGAAGAATCCTTTCTTCAACCTGCTTCACACTGTTTTGGAAGTTCTTTCATGGCTGCCTTTAGAAGATCCCAGAAGAGCATCAAACTTAATCCAGTTCAGAATATATATAAATGCATTTCCTGTCTTACAGCATAAAGTCACAAAATACATTAAAAATGCTGTAATGTTGATCCATCAAGCCAAGCTCAAACCAGTTCCTGGGATTCTTTTTCATCATTATACAGCATCCACAATATACTAGTGGATAGGCAAGAGAGGGAAAAAAAAAAGTGTGTGGGGCGGGGAGGTAACTCCAAAGATTCTGTTAAGCATGATTCCCATTTCCTCTATACATCTGCTAAATTGACAAGCAATTATTTTGAGGCCAAGAGCAGAAAATTGTTAGTGTTATAGAACAGAACAGTGAGTTCTACAGGTTAGACAAGCATCATAGTGTCAAAAAGTGGGTTTTGTCTTGGAGCTTTTAAAAACAATTTTCAATTTTTCAAGACAGTTATTCAGGGGGAAAAAAAGAAAATCATTAAACTAGATATATGTAAACTCACACTGTGTTTTTATCTTTATATGGTCTTACTACTTTGCTAATTTATTCTCCAGGGTATTGACTGCACCAGAGTTACACTTATTCACTGATAGCTGTGCTGGTGAAGGCTGAGATTAGTTACAGTGAAGGCTACTCCACTTTGGAACAAGGATGGGTTTTGTTATCAATCCAAACAGCCTCTGTGTCTCAGTGAAATAAGGGATTTCATCAGTGCACCAACACAAGACAGGGCTGGCAACAGCTGCAATTAAGGCAAATCCATAGCATCTTAACTTCAGCCGAGAGAGGGCAATCCTAAGTTTCTCTCACTTTCCCCAAAAACTTTTACATCTTTAATGATATGTCATCACCCAGTTTTTTAAAATAATCTCCAGATAATTTTATTTTAAAAGTGGCCTCAGCTGAATGTAATAGGCACATAAGAGATCATCTCTCTTAGTACAAACTTTTTGTACTCATACACTTTACTTTATATAGTCCCTTTTTTCTCTCATCTCCTCAGTTTTGACCAGGAATTTCAACCAAGCTCTCCACTACCCCATTCAAGGTTAACTTTGATGCACTACACAAAAATCAACAACACAGATGCCAAGAGAATATATTGTAAAAATATATTTTTCATCCTATCAGCAGTGCAATGATGAATTGCTGAAAGGATTGCACATGAAAATTCAGACCAAGGTCATCAAAATAACTGCTCATTCTCACAAAAGACTGTATTACATTTTTGACATAGAGGAGGAAATATTATGTCCATGACTAGAATTAAAACCAAAGGAAAACAGATTTCCAAGCACCTACTTCACGGCAGTAGAAGTAGGCCTGTTCAGGTAAAATGTTCTCTTCTATCCAAATATTCATGCTTTAGGAGGAAAAAAAAAATTATAATATCCTTAATAAATGTAACAGCAATTTGTCTCCTAACCAGTACCTGGCAAGCTTAGGAAGTTTGGATTGAGTACAGCCCAGTTCAGCCATGCACTCAAACACAAGGCAAAAGAAACCTTTGAGAGAAAGTATATCAAACTGTAATTCCAAATAGATCTCCTTCAGAGTTTATCCAATCCAATTTTTTATGTTTGACAAATGTGAGAATTTTCCCAGCAGCCAAAAAAACCCTTACATTAAAAACAAAAGGATTTTACCATATCAGAGCCACAGAAAGCAGTGGCAGTGCCACTGAAGAACATGCCATATATGTGAATATAGTTTGAGGTAACACACAAGTCAAGTTACAAGCATTAGAAATTTAAAGGTGAGTGTCCAAACTCACAGTAACACAATTCCATTAAATGTATGTATTTTCTTAGGCTCTAACCTTTAGAAAAGGTTCTCCTTAAGAACAGCTTACAGGACCCTTTCCCATTTGAATACTTCTTTGGTACCACAGATGCTGCCAGCACAGCATAAGGGTTGAAATCCTTTAGAGTTCTTGCCCAGCCTTTGTTCTTACTGCTTTTTCTAACCTCTTCTCTAATTACCTGCTAACAGGTAAACTCTCTATCAGTCTGGAAATTATATGTTCCTTCTCATGTAACAATTGTCCTTCACAGACAACAGAAGAGACTATAATATTAAAAATGGAGCTGTTAGCTTAAATAAAAGCTCTTGACTTCCCAAGTCCATGCAGCAGCTTTCTTGATCAAATCTATATACTTCTCTTCTTCCCACACCTCCCCCAAATTTGGAAGACTCTCTGATTGCTTACATTTCCTTCGTTTTATTTGAATCTCATTTGATCCGCAGCTTGAGAAGAAGAATAGGCTTTCTCAATGCTCTGATAGGGTTCTCTTTACTCCTGCCAATAAAGGGAGCTTTTGCTACAGTCTGCCTGGTTTCTTTCTTTGCCCTGAAGAAGGAAAGAGTCTGAGTTACATTACCTTCATTCAAAAACACTTTAACAGGCTTTTCAGAACCTATCAAGTTACTTCTTTAGTTTCATTAGACCATCAAATTAATTCTTAATGATGAACTTTAAAAATAACCTAAATGTAAGATAAATAACAAAGAACAGGACACAAAACATATCAATGTGATTTTTAAACTATTGTTTTCTTCTCCTCCACTATTGCTCACAAATGACTCAACAAAATAGCATTAAAGGAGGACATGCACAGTTAAAATCGCAGCTATAATTTCTTGCTTTCACGCGCACACAAAAACTTCTCCACCCAGATACACTGCAGGTCATTACAGACTGTACAAAATCTCAAAAGCAGTGCCATTTTCTTGGAAAGTCTGATAAATTCCATTTGAAAACACCAGCTCAGTTCTGGGAAAGTAATTAAGCGCTCTGCAGAGCGTTTCTTTAAAAAAGCACCCCACGACAATATTCCAAGAGGTCACTGGAAGTAAGCAACTTAGTTTAGGGAAGTTTGTTTGACCCTGGAATTTTCACAAGCACAGAGAAAAAAAGAAGAAAATGGTCCAAAAGCATAATTAATAGAAATCTTCATCAATATCTATGTGCATTCCTAAACGTGACAATAAAATTCAACAAATGCAACCACAATGCCCAGATCACCACCACACAAAGTCTGACGGCCCCACGGCCTCTCATCCTTACACGTCAAGGCCAAATTTTGCGAGCACAGAGCAGCAACCCCACCTGGGCAGGTACAACACAGAGCCAAAGCACATTTCACAGGAATTTCAGCCGCTCAGCTCTTGTCAGTGAACTTTGCACCCACCTAGCCCAGCGTCCAGCAGCGCGCTGTGCCCAAGCCGGGCGGCTACTCCGCGGTGCCAGGGCAGCGAGGTTCCCGGGCGGCGCCGGGCAGGCCGGCAGTGAGGGCCCGGCCGGGCAGCGCGCTCCCCGCTGTCATCCTGCGCACAACTGCAGACAGGAAGGGCCTCAGCAGTCACACAGATCGGCCTCAGCAGTCACACAGCTGGCTACGGAAGGTCACAGTGTCACAGAAGTGCTCACCTGGCCCCACACCACCGGGCTTTCGCTCCCCTTGCCACAGCTGAAGTGCGGGGCTTTGTAACACGAGACCAAGATAGCGCTTAGCCACAAAGGAGGAATGCCGCGAACTCGCACGGCTATAAAACGGGGTTTTGTGGCTTTCTGGTTCTTTTTTTTTTTTTTATCTTAGTCATGTGCTACAATTCACCTTTGGTCCTCAGGAAGTGGAAAGGAAAGGCTACTGCTGCTAACAAAGTAGCAGCAATGCTACTTTGGACCACAATCACAGTAAGCAACGCGCTAATGAGTGGTTACGGATTCTGGCAAAACACACACAGGCCAATGAAAGCCCAATCTGGCTCATTCTAGAAACACAGTACCTGGAAAAATAGCCCAGCACTGAGATTTACAGAAAACTCTAAGAATAAATGCTTACTCAAACAAAAAGGAGATCTGCAACTGTACGCTTTCCCCACCAAAACAGTATATAAATTACAAGTCAGCCCATTATACTACAGATGTCATGAAAGTAGTACAAATTTCTGTACTAAACATTTACATATTAACTCAGCAAAAAACTGAAGTTCTAAAACTCTTAGGTGTGGTATTGACTCCAGACACCAATCATATCAATGATCCTGCTCCTTCATATTCTTAGGTATAAATCCAAATTTAGTGCAGGGAGTTTTGTGCTTTCAGCCTCTCCTTTCCCTCCCAAGTCACCAACCAACCCCTTCCTAACCACAGAGAATTAAGGTGCCTCCAAAGTTGCATTTTTACTAAACGAGTGCACTCCACAGATGAAGAGCAGCACTATGACAGTGCTACACCCTTAAAAATCTGGCATGAAAAAAAAGAAATCCAGAGATATTGGTAAGACATAGAAAGGATTGGGGATTTAGCTCCTAAGATTAACATAAAAAAAAAGGAACATTCTCAAAACAATTGAAAATAATTGATCTTGAAAATAATTCCATATTATATTGGAAAACCAAAGTGAAAACTGACTAGAAAACAATCTTTTAATACTAATGAAGTACACATAACTGTTTCTCAACTTGAATACACTAGATAACCCAGGGAAATTATTACAAAGAATTTCAATGAATTACAAGCAATAAAAAAAGGCAATCAAAACTTTTACTTTCCAACAAGCACAGTTATTGTTGCATGCTACAACATACAGAAATTACTTCCATTATCCTTTATATGTTAGCCAACAAAAAGTACCTTACCTTATTCTCCACTGTCTGAGCACAGAGGATTAAAAACAAAGTATTAGGCAGAAACTGCAGGTGTTTTGTATCAGGAAGAAAACCCAAATCACTGCATCAATAAGCTTAGTGGCTGTCCAGCATGCCATGCACTCTAGGGACATTAAATGGAAACTTATTCACATCCTTTTTTTTTTGCAAGCTTCCAGACTTCTGAATTGGAAACCCAACGGCAGCCGTTCATTACCTCCTCCAAAATGCAGATCTCAGCAACACCACACTGCAAGAGGAGCCACCACAGCTTGATTTTCCCTCCTAGTAATCCCCTCCTTGCCAACTACTGCACTGCAGTCTTTCTGAGGGCTGTGCAAAGTGCAACTGGGGGAGGGCTGAAAGAGCCCAGCAAAGAAACACAGCAAAGTTCTTTCAAATAATCTCATGACTTCCTAGTCGTGGGCTGGAAGGCATAAACTGCAGAGTTTAGTTGGGATTGCTTAGCATCTTCTCTGCTGTTCCTCCTCATGCTCCTGCCTACTTTTTATTTCATTTTTCACAGGATACTTTGAGGGTAGTACTTTGTGGAAAAACTAGAAGGAATGAAGGGAAAATAATAAACAATTTTGTTTATAATAAAGCTACCTTTAATTCTCATAACCTAATATTCTAAGGGATTAAAACCAAAATGTTTTATAAGGTTTAGGACGTTTTGGTGCTTTCTCAGCTCAGGGAATGGGGAGATATTGGTGGATTTTTTTTGCTTTCATTGTTAAATTGGGGAGTTTAGTCAATTAACTACTTAGCACTTGGATGCCTTCCCTATACAATTAAAACTGCCGTGATTACACAACAGCAGTATTTGTGAGACAAGTGCCCAGCAGGGGCATTTGTAATTATACCCAAGTGTTCCACAACAGCAGCAAAAGAATGCATCCAAATATTAAAGAAGCTTTCACAGAAGCAGTGGGGTTGGAAGGGACATCTGGAGACCATCCAGGCCATCCCCCTCTGTCCAGACAGGGTCAGGCAGAGCTGCCCAGCACAGCCACCCATCAGGTTTTGAGGATTTGCAGAGTGACTCTACCATCACACTGGGCAGCCTGTTGCAGTGTTTGAGCACACCCACAGCCTTTTCTTGTATTCAGATGGAATTTTATTCTTTTTTTTTCTCAATTAATGCCCACTGCCTCTCTGAACACTGGAAGTCTAATCTCTAATTTGAGTTACCTCCATCCCCCTCCACAGCTGTGTTTAAGAGCAAAGGGAGCAACAAGGAGCCCTGGGTGTCAATCAGCCAGTTGCTGGCTCATTTGAAACAATAGGTTCATCACTGCTTTCCACCCCTCCTTCCTCCTGCATCCTGCAGAGAGAGGCTCCAGGCCAGATCTTTTAGCTCATCGCAGCTGCCTACCATCAGCAACCTATTATTGCTGGAGACCCAGGTCCTCCTTGGGGGAGCATCCTGCTCAGTCTCCTCTGGTTCAGCCTCACTGGAACATTAGGCAGGGCTGAGCACCTGCTGGCAATGACATGGAAAGCCCAGAAACCTCCACAGCCCTCTGGCACCTCCCCACCTCCTGTGCAGCCCCAGAAGAGGGGCAGTAAGTAGCAATCAGAGCGTGTTCTATGGGCATGAGCAGGAAGGAAATGAGAGTTTGGAGGGAGATGCATCCTTTGGGGGCTTGGCTCAAAACAGTGCTAAGCCTGGCTGGTTTTAGGGGCATGTTTGAAAGTTCTCCTTTCCCTTAAAAGGCCAATATAATGGGCAACATAGGTATAGACTCAGATACAATGAAAACAACTACTACCCACTGCCTCACCAACAGATGGAGATTAATTTCTCAAAGCTGTGCACAAGTCCTTTGCTTACTCCTTGCAGGGGCTGCTGAGTTCTCATGCACTGAAACAGTGACTTGACAGTTTTAACATAGCTTAGTTAACACTGACATTCCTGCAGTGGATAATATATACCCAGTTTAGGCTCCCAGACAAAGTTTCAGTTCGTTTTATTTTCAATTTTTATCTATTGAAAAGAATTTACCACTAAAGGTCATCTTCAGCTTCAAATTCCTTCCTTGGTTTGCAGAACACATGAAATACAACATTTTAAAAACATGATCACAAATTTGAAAAGGGCAAGGAGAGGCCTGCTGGCTTTGAAAGAGAAGAACAAAATCAGAAAAGCTATAACAGACTTTCTGCGTGACTTAATGTACTTCTGCATATTTCTACTCTCCTTTGTTGAGGAACAGATCCCCTTTCTCTGATCTTACCTGAGCACCTACCAAGTTCCCATCTCTTCATATGTATTACCTTGTATAATAGGGCTCCAGTCTTAAGCTGGGAACTGTCAAAAGTGAAAAAATAACTAGAAATAAGGAACACAAAAACAATTATATCTTGATAAAGTTGGGAAGAAGAAGGACTAAAAATATCCCTTTCCCCTAAAAACCAAACATAAATAGGAAAATAAGATCTTTATTTTTTTTGTTTCTGCAGTTAGTCTAAGACTAGCACCTTAACACTTCTTAACCTGTTTTGCTTCAGGACAGTGAAAAATTACTTCAAGCCAGCCATGTGCAGCCTAGTTGCTTTCTGGCAGGCATTCACATACCAGCACAGAGGCACACAAGATTTCTTAGGAAAATGCCACCAAACATCTAGCATCAACTGAGAAGACGTGGCCAAAGGAAAAAAAATCTCAGAAAGATAGCAAGTCTGCTTCATAAATTGCTCATGGTCCTGTGTGGGAGAGTAAAAGAGAAAGAGAAAAGGCCAAAAGATTGTTCAACTATTCCAGCAGACTACTTCCTTTTCCTGCATCCTTCAGATGCTACTTCTACATCACAACCTAAAAAGGACTTGTTATACTGTTATGTGAACCTACAAAAAGAACTTATTGTGACAAGAACGTGAACTTCTGTATATAAACACCATCATTAATTCACGTAACTTATTACCAACAAGAAGTTCTTAGTCACAGTGCTTAACATACGGTCTAGTAATAGTGTAGTAAAAAGGTTAATTTTTATTCCTTTCCACAGAGAATTCTGAAAGAGCCTCTCTACCTTCCAGCTTTATAAAGCTGTACCTGTTCCGAGGAAAAAGCCACAGAGTAGTCCCAGAGCATCGCCTGCTGCTCCTCTGCAAAGACACAACCCCCAGCACTCACCTGAAGGACTGATGAATTTCCTATGTTCATGAGAGGTTGAAAGGAGCACGTTTCACTTCTTTTATCCATTCCTAATTTAAAGCTTAAACTGAAGGCAAACAGGACTAACTTTTTTTTTTAGAAGCATAATTTCTTTTTAAACTCCAGAAAAAGTAGAGTGGAACAAGGAAGGAAAGCACAACCCCAAATATATTTAAGGTACTGTTCTAAAGGATTCAGGACATTTTCTCCTCTTGCAAGTAAGGTTAAATGCAGTTTTCCAAATTAGGCTGTGGCTGACTGAGGAAGCTGGTTACCACCTATGAGTTCTAATCATATTTTTAATCTATTTGAAATCAAACATTTGAGAGGAAGATTTTTTTGTGAAATAGAGATAGTCATTTGCTTACCTTCCTTGCAAGTACAACTGGTTAAACAAAAAACCCCAGCCTCCATAAACTATCATGCAACTTAAGTCCATCAGGGAGAATGCAGAACTTGCCAAAAAGTCCATTCTGATTGTGTGCAAGGCACACAATGAGACAGAACAATGCTACAAGAGGGCTTATTTATAGAAATGAGAATGAAACTTGTTCTGACTTTTGAGGTATCACCTTCATTCATAACTAAACCAAACCCAGGCACTGAAGACGATTTTTAAAATTAATATCATCAACTTAAAGATGTGAAAACGCAAAAGAGAATGAGGTACTTTACAGTGTCATGCAATGATACTAATACTAAAAAAAAACAAAAAAAACCAAAAAACCACCAAAAAAAACAACCCAAAAATCCCACCAAAAAAACCCCAACTCACACAACTGTCATGAGGTTTCTCAACATACATATTAAAAACATACACAGCAGAAGAATTGTTCCTACCTACCTGTTTACATGAAAAAAATTCACAACACAAACCCCAGTGACACACAAGCCTGCAGTCTGTGCTTCCGACAGATTAATACATTGTTTCCCACTGCTGAGAGCTGGTCTTGATTCAGTTAAAGCCTAAGCACTTAGGCTTTCCTGCTGGGAAACAAACAAGTCAAGTCGGTTTCAAGCATCTCCTATTAATACACAGAAACAATTCTCACAAGCCTGAAGGCAAAAAAAGAAAAATAAATAGTAGGTAAAGGCTGCACTAAACCATAACAAACTACGGCAAATGAAAAAGCTGCACTGAAACCTACTAGTTCACTAGAAAATTCATTGCCAAAGTCTGTTTACTTCATGGAGGAAGCCATCAGTGAGTCAATAGCTACAAGAATGTTTTACATAATGGGAAAATTTTAATTGGCCAGAGGTTCACAATGTTCTTAAATTTCCAGAAACTGCAGATGTAAAGATACTTCTGTTAACCTAAACCAAAACCAAGAAAAGAAACTATCTGAGATGACACTCCATTTCACAACACAGTTCTACTGCTCTTCAACCTTCTCAGCACAGGAAAGACTTACACTCTGATATTAAAGGATGGAAATGTGAACACTGGAAACAGAGTCGGCTTTTAGACTACCACCAAATGGCATTAAAACATATTAGCCAGCATAAAATCTTGGCTAGCACATTGCTGCCATTCCTGAGCTGTGACACTAAGAACTGAAGTAGTTTAAGGAACCAGTTTTAGTCTTGTAGAAAATTAGTGAGCCAGTCAGAAGGTATTTACAAGAAAGCATGATACCATGTTAGTCTTCCATTTTCACTTTACTTGTAAAAGCTAATAAGAGAGCCAAGAATCATTAGACAATAATGAACTGAAAGGAGTTCCTTCCTTCTTTTAACAAGGAAAACATGCTGCAACACCACTACAGTATAAAATCCAGTTTACCCAAACTGAAGCAGCTTGAATGAAGGAATCCTTCCTCAGTTTTCAGAGGGCTGATAACAGTTTAAGGATTATATTTAAAAACCAAAGAGTAAATTCAAAACATTGCACAGATTATATTATTCCTCTTAATCTGCTAAAAATTACCAATTTAAAAATGCAAATTATATTTTAGTTTCTACTTTTTAAATATTCTGAATGATACTTACTAGTAAGCATTTTCATCACACAACTTTTTGGAAGTTAGAAATTGAATAAATATTTTAAATTAATGTCATGTATCATACATGCACAGGTATCAGGATTAGAGTTCTGAAAGAGACTAAATTACAAAGCTGCTCATAAACTAAAGTCTGTGTGTTAAATTTCAAAAGCACAGAGGTCACATTTGTTTTAGTACTGAAGTAGTATAATTCTATTACCACGACAGTGCGAAACAACTTTCCTAGCAGCCACAAAGCATTCAGGGGGACACACGATCAGAAGCTCAAATTCAGAAAATTAAGTTCATGTTCACTACGGAGTGCCTTAGTGCTGGCACTCCATAATGCAATATATGAACAACTGTTTCTATAGTTCTTATTTTTTTATCTGCTTTTGGTGATGCAGATGCCTTTCTAGAGTATTCTGTCCTACTGAAACATTCTCGTCCTCCACAGTACATCAAGACATCCCATCTCATTTTTATTCTCACAAACAATTTACCTATGTATTTGCCAGCAAAAGCCACATTGATGGTAACAGAAGAATGAATGAGAAAGTTCTTCTGACTCAAGTAACCATATGCTTCTTTTTAAATTGAAACCTAGTGATGGGGGCTGCCTCCACTGCCCAACAGAACCAACCTGTAATTATGGAGAAAGACAAAAAAGCACATGCAGCACAGAAATCAGAAAGCATGTGCCTTTCTGTTATCTGCTGATGCACTCATTCATCTGAAGGCCTAAATTCTATGCCTGGAACATACAGACCAAGACCAGCGATGCTGCTGCACTGCTCAAGCAAAAAGCAACATCTCCATGTAGTAATTACCAAAGCATTCTCTTGGGTCCTCAGCACAGCTGTCCATGTGTCCATCAGTTCACATGGAGGGCAAACAGCAGCACAGTTCTGTTTCCTGGGATAGTGAACATTGCTCCTCTCCTGCAACCAGACTCTTCTGGCCAGTCTTGACAGTGCTGTACTTACATGGACTTCACCATCTTTATCCACACATGGATGTAAGTCCTCACCCTCCACGAACTGGCAGGCTGCACTCCTGATTGGCCTTCCTAAAAAACTATAGCCAGAAAAATACTGGCTTTGTGGGTCTGCCTCAGGTCTTCCACTCAAATCTCAAGAGCAAGCACAGCTCTTCCTGCAATGTTAAACATCTGGAAAGCATGCTGGAGCAAGCTTAATCTGCTACTTTGCAAGATGGCCCTACAGAGCTCAGAACACTTGGAGCTACTCTTACAAGCTAAGGTAACACCATAAAACCCATTGCCTCAATTCACATAGGAACATAATGGCAGAGAAGCTTCAGTAATTCTTTTCTAATGCTGTATCTCCACATGGTACAGGGAAGAATCTTAGTACAGTAATCTGAAACACAAAAGTCCCAGTACAAATTAGAAAAAAAAAACCCAAACAAAACAAAATAACCACACAAGAAATAAAATACTATATAAAAAACCTAGAGCAGTGATAAAGGACGAGTTAGAAAAACAAATCCTTGCAGCAGCAACAAACAGCTGTGTTCCAGCCTATAGAACAGCCCCTGATCTAGGCCTCTGGTGAATGAGAAATGGAGATGATGAAAGAAGGCAGAACACCACTCCACACCTGAAAGACTCCTAATTCTGTAATGGAGGCTTGTGTCTTTCTACAGTGCTCTGCCTGCAGACAAAGTGCCCTGTATGGCATATTGGCTCCCCAAACTTCACACCTCCAGTCCAACTATCCCCAAGTCTGAGCACACACTGGAGACAACCCTGAAGCACTCTGTGTTTAGACAGCCACCAGAAACAATTACACCCAGGCAGATTGCAGGCAGTGGTCACTGATTTAACGTGGGGAACACTCCAACATCTGTACCCCCATGCATTTCTCCCTCATTCAATATCAGCAGCAGATCAGTTTTATCAGTTAACATCATGCTGAAAATTCATCAGCCTCATTTCAATTCTCACACTGCCTGCTTTTCCAAAGTTAGTTTGGATTGCCTAACTAGTTCTGCCACAGTCACAGCAAAGCTGTGATACTGTCAAAGAGGACTGATTGACCACAGTGGGTATCTGCAGGAAGAATGACCCCAAGTCACCATTTATCCTAGTTACTGAAAAGAGATTAATACTCTACATCTTAGAGCAATGGAGACTGAACTCTTCTGTATTAATTAACAGCCATTATACACTAGCCTCTTTACTCTTGCATCTGGATAAGTAGGGTAGCTGTAGGGAAATACCACTTCAGAAGTCACTTGTATCCAAACATTTAAGCTTTCTTTAAAAAAAATTTCTATTTACAGGAAAATGAGTAGAGACCAGAAGAACAGAGACATCAGTTTAAGGAATGCATCAGGGAGCTCTAACAGGGAATAAAGCCATACAGAAATGTTATTAAAACATAGATTAAATGCTCTTGTTTCTATCTTACTTAATGCATGTAATACTTGGCAATGGCCCTGGTAACTTACTACAACATTAAGATATTGTTACATCTTTATTTGGCCTTCCCACCTCTTCCTTGAAATTTACTATGTTGCAGTAGTGAAAAAACCCAAAAAACAAAACAAGACAAACCCAAACCTGAAATCATGACAAAATCATGGTTTTTAAGTTCAAGTCACAATGTCATATAACACAGAAGTCATGTCCAGCACTGATTTAAACACTAGGTTTAAAGGTAGAAAAGGGAGTTCCAGTACTCTGCAGCTCTGGGCCTACTCTGAGTGATGAAGATACATGATTTCATTTTGGTGTCAGTAACAGCATCAAGCCTGACACATTGCATCTAAGATAACATCAGGCTCTAGCATTTCATTTAATCACTCAGGACAGCCATTCATATTTATTATCAAGAGCTTTCCTGTACATCAATAAATTCTTGCCCAGGCACATGAGACATGTACTCATTTCTCACAAGATACCTGTGCAAATAAAATCCTTCATTTATGCAAAATCTTGTGTTTGATCATTTATTTACTACTTTTTTTTTCTTTTTCTTTAAAGCAGAAATATACCATCCCATTCATTTTTAGTGTGTGTACCACAACCCTGCTCTTATCACTTCCTAGGCCTCCTGTCACTTACATTCTTCACCTAAAAATAAACGAGACACAACCTCAATACACTACAATATGTTGTCACTCCTTCCCTGTCCTGACTACATCCTCTGTGATCAACATGACAGTGGGATATGCTGTTGGATGCCGTTTTGTTACTCCTCAATCTGGAGTCTAAGCACAGCAAAATGCAGTGACAAATCCTGTTAATTGCCAAATCTTAGCCTGTAAACAGAGTCAGTCTCCCACTGACTCCCACTTCAAAGTCAAAGTAGGAGGGAAGAAGCAAGGCCAGGTTTTGTTAATTGTTATGCATCTACTAAGACAGTGCAGAATACTATTAGCCTTCTCTCCATACTCTATCCTGGGCAATGTCAGAATCAAGGCTTTTTATTCAAGGTGACCAAGCACAATTTTCTTCCTTCCTGATGGGTTTCCACCTTCATCTTTGGCCCCACTCACCAAGCCAATCACGTAACCAAGGGAGGACAAGTTCACATTTGATACGACGTCGTATGGCCGAACATCACAGCTGCTACCTTTTAATTGCTCCTTTAAGGGTTATTATTAGCCAGCTCTAAATCATTATAGCAAACTGATAAAACACTAATGGCCAAGTTCTCTCACACAACAACTTGTCCATTTTTCCACTTACCACACTGAGTTATTCCAAAATAAATGATTAAGATCAAGTAGAATCATCCCCCTGCCTATTACCTGAACCTGTTATATTACTTACTGTTAATATTTTGAGGAATTAAGTACATCTGACAATCACACATTTTAATCCTGGCCAAGTTTAGAAAGCCAACAAGGATTTTCGCAAACTTCTCTCTTTTCTCTTCGAAAACACAAAATTGCATGTGACTCCCACTGGCTCTCTCACACCACCTCAACAGCTGTTAAACTCAGGTCAAGACTGTTAAGCTAGGCTTCCAT